CACCCGCGGCCGACACCGACGCCCCCCCTCACGTGCTCAGCCTAGTCGTAGGTGCGGTTTTTTTGCGTGGCCCCCGTCGGTACGGGGCGCTGGGCGATGGCTGGGCTTGTCGCCGGGCGAGCTGGCCCCTCAGTCGGCCGCGGAGCGGAGAGATGCAAAATCGAGGCGGCGCACGAGCCCGGCGCGCGCATGGTTCCGTAGCCCGTCTAGTGCCTCACTGACCGACTGCAGCGCCACGGTGCACGTGGCCGGTGTGGTACTGGGGCTGGGCAGCCTCGGGGCCGGCGGAGACCGTCGTCTAGCGGTCGCACTAGTCTCTTTTCGTTGTTCGACCTGTGTTCGACGGATGTTCGACCATGGTTTGACCCTTATATATTTATTCGGGTTTGGGTCTCTGAGGTCGATACTAGCGTCTGTAACCTGCCACAACAAAGCACGCTTTACAAAAGTCCTGCTGAGCGGAACGCGCAGAGCCGCCGTCCGCGCGCGCTGTGAACAGTGCCATGGTCGAACGTTGTTCGACGGGTCGAAGACGTGACGGTCCAGTAACCGACAGAGAGTTAGTTGGCGAGCGAGCAGCACAGGAAGGATGCGCGTGCAGACAGGCCAGCTGCCAGTGGGACGAACGAGGGCCGCGACGGCGGCTCAAGCGGGAGGGAGCGGAGACGGTACAGCGAGCCAAGTGGGTGAGACTAATGATGCTCCTTCGAGCTTCGACTTAGGGAGCGGTTTAGCTGCTGGGCGGGCTTCAGGCTGGTGCTCACACGAAAAGGAACCGACGCGATGTGCGAAGCATGAAGCATACAAGAAGAGGAGAAGGAGGAGGAGAGACGCCGGTGGTGACGAAGCAGAGACTCTAGCGCAGACGAGAGCAGGGCAGACCCGGGGACTGGGGAGCCGGAGCAGACGGCATCGGCCGCCGAGGCGGGAACGTTGGGAAGAGGCACGAGGAGGGCGGCGACCTCGACCGACTATGGAGGACCCGTCGCCAGACGACGCAGGGCAGAAGACGGTGAGGCGGAGCAGACGCGCAGGGCGAGACGAGGGAGGAAGCAGGACTATTTGCGGAGATCAGCAGGAGGATGTACGAAGAGATTAGGAGCAGCAGGGACCCGCACAAAGAATTTTACAACAAAACTCCCTCGCACAACACTGGGCACGGGACTGGCGCGCACTGGCACTAACACAGGTACACCACTGGAGCCACAAAAAGAACCCTGCACAAAGATCGCACGGGCGGGGACCTGCTCCTTTTTACCCAGTAGAGAGGTGTCCGTTTTTGTTTATTTATTTTATTACCAAAGACGTGCGGGGCGGCACAGGGGCCGGCAGGGCCAGGGGCCCTGCCGCGCAGCGGGGGGAGCGGGAGGGAGGGGCAGGCTGCTCACCCACGTGCACCGGGCCAGTGCTTGTGCACTTTGAATGCCGTGGGGCTCCTGCCCGTGTCCGGGTGTGGAGATGCGAGGGTCGCCCCCCCTAGTGCCCCACCACTTGTGTGTGTGGAGAAATTTACCTTACCTTACCTTAGCGGGTGGGAGCGGGCGGGGACACATGTCCCTAAATCCCATCTCGTCTCAGAGTTTGACCGTTTTATTTATTTTTACCCATCTCACAGTACAGTTTTTTTATTACGAGCTCGTATGCCACGCGTCGCCGCCTGTATTTGGGGTTCACTATTTTGCGATTTGGAATTTGGTATTTGTGTCTAGTATTTGTTTATTTATTTATTAGGTATAGAGCAGAGGCGGGTGTCCCCCCTCTAACTGCACGAGAAAAAACAGCACGTCTGTATTATCTTCTCTTTGCGAGGGCGATGGGATCGCCACACACACACCGCTGATTATGCAGAGCGGCCGGACGGGTGAGAAAAGAGATGGAGAGGGACGAGAGGTCGCCGTAAACCCCGGTCCCGGTGTAGTGGCGTGCCAGGACGGTAAGAGAGGCGTCATGCGAGGGGCCCGGTCCCCCGGCCCGGTGGCGACAGCGGCGCCACGGCCTCGGCGCGGTGTCGGCCGGAGCCGCCGGAGGATGGACGGGCGCAGGAGGGGAGCAGGGGCCAGGCGGGCGCGCCGAATGTCGTCAGAGAGAACGACCACACCGATCGGCCGGCTCCGCATCCCCCCCCCGACGCTCCCCTCCCGCCCGCCGCGCGCTCACTCTCCGCTCGGCGGCGGGGGAGGCTCGTCGCCGCTGCCGCCGCCGAAGGCCGGCGCGTGCGGGAACCGCGCCACCGCCTTTTGTCGGAAGGCGGCGGCGGCAGCGGCGTCCGCGAGCGCGCCTCCGGGCTCGAGGAGGGCGAGGGCCTCCTTGCACACCGCTAGGCTGGCCTGCTGGAGGCCGGGGATCGAGTCAGGGCCAGGGCTAGGGCTAGGGCCAGGGCTAGGGCTAGGGCCAGGGCTAGGGCCAGGGCTAGGGCTAGGGCCAGGGCTAGGGCCAGGGCTAGGGCTAGGGCCAGGGCTAGGGCTAGGGCTAGGGCTAGGGCTAGGGCTAGGGCTAGGGCCAGGGCTAGGGCTAGGGCTAGGGCTAGGGCTAGGGCTAGGGCTAGGGCTAGGGCCAGGGCTAGGGCCAGGGCTAGGGCTAGGGCTAGGGCTAGGGCTAGGGCTAGGGCTAGGGCCAGGGCCAGGGCCAGGGCTAGGAAGCCTGCTGCAGGTCGAGAC